TGCCATGAAAGCTATAGTAAGAGGGGAATTTATATCCCTACAAATGCACATGAAGAAAATAGAAGGATCACAAATTAACAGCCTAAGAAGCCTCCTAAGGAAACTGGAAAAGCAAGATCACAAAAACCCTAATTTCAGCAGAAGAATCCAGATCACCAAAATAAAAGCCCCAAATCCAGGACATAGAAGACAAAAAGATAATACAAAAAATCAATGAAACAAAAAGCTGGTTCTTTGAAAGGGTAAACAAGATTGATGGTCCCCTAGCTAGACTGACCAAGAAAAAACGAGAAAAAAACCAAATAAGCATAATCAGAAACACAAAAGATGAAGTCACATCTGACCCTGAAGAAATACAAAAGATCATTAGAGACTACTACGTACACTTGTATGGAAACAAACTTGAAAACCAGAAGGAAATGGAAGACTTTCTGACATCACACAACCTACCTAGGTTGGAACAAGAAGAAATTGAGACCCTAAATAGACCAATAACAATCAAGGAAATCGACTACGTAATAAGAAAACTTCCTACAAAAAAAAGCCCTGGTCCAGATGGCTTTCCAGCAGAATTCTACAAGACATTCAAGGAGGAGCTGATACCAATCCTACTGAAGGTATTCCAGGCGATTGAAAAAGATGGAACTCTCCCCAAATCATTTTACGAAGCCAACATCACATTGATACCCAAGCCAGGTAAAGATCCAACAAAGAAAGAGAACTACAGGCCAATATCTTTGATGAACATAGATGCTAAAATTCTCAACAAGATCCTAGCAAACCGGATTCAGCAATACATCTCAAAAATCATCCATCATGACCAAGTAGGCTTCATTCCTGGGATGCAAGGCTGGTTCAACATTCATAAAACCATAAATGTAATTAAATACATCAACCGATGTCAAAACAAAAACCACATGATTATATCATTAGATGCAGAAAAAGCTTTTGATAAAATCCAGCACCCCTTCTTGATAAAAAACCTTGAACATCTAGGCATACGGGGAACATACCTCAAAATAGTAAAAGCCATCTACGAGAAACCCACAGCCAGCATACTCCTAAATGGACAAAAATTGGAACCATTTCCCCTGAAAACTGGAACAAGACAAGGATGCCCACTCTCACCCCTCCTGTTCAATATAGTATTGGAAGTCCTGGCTAGAGCAGAGAAGAGAAGGCAATCAGGGGTATCCAAATAGGAAAAGAGGAAGTCAAGTTATCTCTCTTTGCAGATGATATGATTGTGTACCTTGAAAACCCAAGAGAATCTGTCAAAAACCTCCTTACACTGATAGAGGACTTTGGCAAAGTCTCAGGATATAAAATAAATGTGCAAAAGACAATCGCATTTCTTTACACCAATTATAAACAAACAGAAACGCAAATAAAAACCACAATTCCATTCACAATAGC